GCCACGGCCATCAGGACAGGCCAGGCTCCCCCTCCCGCCTACATCCTCATCCCAGCCCCGTGAGCACTGAGCGCCCCTCTCAGCCCTGCGTCCTCGCAGCCCAGGGTGGCCAAGCCTTGCACGCTGGGAACGCGCCTCCCCTCCTGCATTGCCAGGCCCCCACGTGCACGGAACGGACCTTCCCAATCCCCTATCGCCAAGGGGTGCAACGGCCTTGCACCAGCCTCGTGCACATTTCACCATGGGCACACACTGTGCGTCCCACGCGCACGCAGCCGTCGTGCCCCACAGGCATAGCCCGGGTGTTCGGGCTGGTCCAGGCATGGAAAAGGAACATTGAAAAAACACCCAGTTTGTGCCACAGGGGCAAGACTCATGGTCAAGTCTTGGGGCCCTGGCACACGAGGATCTTCCCGTGAGCGTGCCCAGTGAGCCTCGTGAGCAGTCACTGGGTCTGGCTTTTCAGGATCGGGCCCCCTATTAGTGACCGGAAGCCAGAGATGAAACAAGCAGGTTCCTCTGGGCATCCGGGCGCTGTTGCCGAGAGGCACAGGCCGCGAGCAGCCTCATTTCCAGCTTCTGGCAAGGTCCCGGGAATTGTTTTGTATTGTCAGAGCTGACTTGGGCACTTTGTTTAGAGAGGGTTCCCCGGCACGCCCCTGAGCCGGCCTGCCAACATGGGGGGCCAAGGGGGCAACGCCCTGGGGCCTGGTGAACTAAGGGCCAGCAGCTCCTGGCTGCCACCACCGCTACCACGGCAACAATGGCAGTCGGAGCCTGGACCCTTTAAATCTCCGCCGGAGCACCTTGCGGCGCGCTCCGGGCAGCACGGAGGGCTGGGAGATGCCATGTTCTCCTGGCGACACCGAGGGCTGCCTCGCCCCTTCCACCACCGGCCGTGCCCTTTCCGGGGGCATGGAGCAGCCCCCCCCACCTTGCCCAGGGGCCGGGTGAGGCTGTCGGCCAAACACTCTTCTGACTGGAAGGAAACTTGCACGGGCGCGGCCATCCCTGGAGCCAGGCCTGGCCCCTGCGCGGCACGAAACAACGCCCGAGCGTCACTTACCGCATATTCGAAGGGCACGTTGAAGTCCCGGTTGTTGGCCGCAAGGTGCCTCTCTTCCTCTGCAGAGAAGAACACGCGTTAGACTGGGGCAAAGGAGAGCCGGCCACTTCTGACTGGAAGGAAACTTGCACGGGCGCGGCCATCCCTGGAGCCAGGCCTGGCCCCTGCGCGGCACGAAACAACGCCCGAGCGTCACTTACCGCATATTCGAAGGGCACGTTGAAGTCCCGGTTGTTGGCCGCAAGGTGCCTCTCTTCCTCTGCAGAGAAGAACACGCGTTAGACTGGGGCAAAGGAGAGCCGGCCAGCCCCCCGCAGTGGTGGGAAAGGGAGGAGAAAACCGTCAGGGGCACCCGGCTGGACCCGCCAGGCAGGGCCGCAGGACGTTGGAGGGGGAGGGGCGTGGTGCCTCGGCTAGGAACAGGCCCATTCAGAGCCGGGAGCATCGCACAAACGGACCCCACTGACGTCTCCAAGAGCTCCCCGGCCCCGGACGCTCATCGCCACCAGGCCTGCGGGCACTCCCCTCTGGGGATCAAGGCCCGAAAGGGAGATGCTCCCTACCGAGGTGGTCTGGACTCCGTGCCTGCAGGCAAAGCAGGGAGTGAATCGTGCTAGGAACAGGCCCATTCAGAGCCGGGAGCATCGCACAAACGGACCCCACTGACGTCTCCAAGAGCTCCCCGGCCCCGGACGCTCATCGCCACCAGGCCTGCGGGCACTCCCCTCTGGGGATCAAGGCCCGAAAGGGAGATGCTCCCTACCGAGGTGGTCTGGACTCCGTGCCTGCAGGCAAAGCAGGGAGTGAATCGTGTGTGCACAGAGCCTGGTGCCCCATGGGGTGAGGCAGAAACTAGCAGGGCCCAGGAAAGCTCCCCAGGAGACAACGACCGTTCCCGCCAGCCCCTCTGGCAGGACAGCTGGGTCCAGCCCCTCCCACACTCCGGCTGTTCCAGGAGCAGGCGGGGCCCACAGCAGACAGAGCTCCCGGCTTGCCCCAGGAACGTTAGCCCTGCACATCCTGCCTGCTGCCGGCAGGCACGACCG